CTAGACTAGAAAATTAATCTGGAATTCCTCAAAAAGGGACCCGTTGGGAATAGTTGAAATAATGCCTGTAAATTTTTCAAATTGCAAAATAGCTTAAGTAGGATAATTAGGGAGAACATGAACCAGACATTCCCCAATTTGGGAATCAATAGTTGCAAGGCAACCGTCCCAAAAGGAATGACAATAGCGAAGTAAAAGGCACTCATCCCTGGCGTGCTAAATAGTGTACTTAGAACCAAGAGCTGGACTGGAATTCCCCAACAAGCACCCGTCCCTTTGGGAGTAATAATCATAACAATATGTGGGAGACTGATGCAAGTTTTCATAAGGAGGCAAGTTTAGTCTTGAATTCACCAAAAGGCACCCACCTGTTTGGCACCAATTTGAATAATTTGGAAAGGAATCTGAAACTCACTAAACGGGAGCTGTTTGTTTAAGACTTGTTCGAATAATTTGGGAAATAAGGGTTATATCCAGGGCAACAAAGTGCGTGGAATTCCCCAAAGGCACCCCGCGCCTTATGAGTTAAATATAATTAGGATAATTGTGATAAGTCGACAAATTAGCAACCAGGACTCTTGAGCTCCCCAAAAGTCACCCGTCCCTTTGGGGAGAATGAGAAAAATCAGAAGAGTTATGACAAGTAGAATAGTTAGCAAACACGAACCTTGAATTCCTCAAAAGGCAGCCCCCTTTTTGGAATGACTATAACACATACATCAATTTGAATAATTGCAGCAAACATGAATCTGGAATTCTCTCAAAGCAGCCCGTCCCAATTGTTGAAACAAATAAATAAATTGTGATCAGTAGGCTAATTAGCCAACATGCATCTTGGATTGCTCAAGACGCACCTGCCCCTTTGGCAAGACTTAGACTAGATTGAGTAGCTAGAATGATGGGAGCAAACATGAGCCTGGAATTGGAACTCCCACAAAGGCGCACGTCGCAGTGGGACTTGAAACAATACATAGAACAATTGCCAGAAGTAGAATCACCAGACAGAAAACACATGAATCTGGAATTCCCAAAAGGCACCCCCCCCCACCCGGAACAAGTAGAACTATTAGAATAGCTATGATAAGTAGACTAACTTGCAACACATGAACCTTCAATTCCCCAAGGGCACCCGTTCCTTTGGAAACACGTAGAACAATGGAACAATTAGAATAACTCGAGCAATTAGAACAAACATAAATCTGGGGATCCCAGAAGGCACCCGTCCCTTCGGGAAGAATAATTAGAAGAAGTAGAATAGCTAGACTAGAAAATTAATCTGGAATTCCTCAAAAAGGGACCCGTTGGGAATAGTTGAAATAATGCCTGTAAATTTTTCAAATTGCAAAATAGCTTAAGTAGGATAATTAGGGAGAACATGAACCAGACATTCCCCAATTTGGGAATCAATAGTTGCAAGGCAACCGTCCCAAAAGGAATGACAATAGCGAAGTAAAAGGCACTCATCCCTGGCGTGCTAAATAGTGTACTTAGAACCAAGAGCTGGACTGGAATTCCCCAACAAGCACCCGTCCCTTTGGGAGTAATAATCATAACAATATGTGGGAGACTGATGCAAGTTTTCATAAGGAGGCAAGTTTAGTCTTGAATTCACCAAAAGGCACCCACCTGTTTGGCACCAATTTGAATAATTTGGAAAGGAATCTGAAACTCACTAAATGGGAGCTGTTTGTTTAAGACTTGTTCGAATAATTTGGGAAATAAGGGTTATATCCAGGGCAACAAAGTGCGTGGAATTCCCCAAAGGCACCCCGCGCCTTATGGGTTAATTATAATTAGGATAATTGTGATAAGTCGACAAATTAGCAACCAGGACTCTTGAGCTCCCCAAAAGTCACCCGCCCCTTTGGGGAGAATGAGAAAATCAGAAGAGTTATGACAAGTAGAATAGTTAGCAAACACGAACCTTGAATTCCTCAAAAGGCAGCCCCCTTTTTGGAATGACTATAACACATACATCAATTTGAATAATTGCAGCAAACATGAATCTGGAATTCTCTCAAAGCAGCCCGTCCCAATTGTTGAAACAAATAAATAAATTGTGATCAGTAGGCTAATGAGCCAACATGCATCTTGGATTGCTCAAGACGCACCTGCCCCTTTGGCAAGACTTAGACTAGATTGAGTAGCTAGAATGATGGGAGCAAACATGAGCCTGGAATTGGAACTCCCACAAAGGCACACGTCGCCGTGGGACTTGAAAAAACACATAGAACAATTGCCAGAAGTAGAACCACCAGAAAGAAAACCACATGAATCTGGAATCCCCCAAAAGGCACACACACACACACCCCACCCGGAATAACTTGAACAATTGGAGTATCTATGATAGTAGACTAATTTGCAAAACATGCGCCTTTAATTTCCCAAAGGCGCCTGTCCCTTTAGGAAAAAATAGAAAAATGGAACGGTTAGAATAACTAGAACGATCAGAACAAACATAAATTGGAGATTCCCAAAAGGCACCCGTCCCTTTGGTTAGAATAATTATCAGAAGCAGAAAAGCTAGACTAGAAAATTAATCTGGAATTCCCGTTGAGAATAATTAGAATAGCGCGGGTAATTCCCAAAAGAAAAACAATATATTAAGTAGAATCATTAGAGAGAACATGAATCTGAAATTCCCTAAAGCTGGGAAAAAGGAACTGTGCAGTTTGAAGCAAGAACCTGTTTTATCTGCCAATGTGTCCTCGTTGATACAAACACATGTGCCCGTCAAATGAACCTCCCCCCCCCTTTTGCCCCGCTCCCCCCCCCCGCCCGCTTTTTTGCAGAGGCGCCCCCAGTAAGCTCGAATCCACCGGACCACCTCCGCTGCGGGGTGTTCTGTTTCCATTGGCTCGTTCGGTGTCAATAGATGTTCGAACTTTGATTCGCAGACCAAATAATCAACGCCATCCAACCATTGCAAAGCAAAACGCGTCGCGCAAATCTCACACATGATTCTGTGTATAGACGTGTTATAAACAGTCAGTTCTAGTTGCTCAATGTGGAAGGCAGCACTCCTAAGCGATAACCCCAGGGCCATCTTTGATTCGAGAGACCCCGCGCGCCTGTTCAAACACTGAAGCTTTGACCCTCTACTTTACCCACTACGCACTTCCCTGAAGATTAAAGATGAACAATGCGCTTTGTTCATTCTAAATGCCAGGGCCATCTTTGATTCGAGAGACCCCGCACACCTGGTGAAAAACACTGAAGCTTTAACCCACACACGCGTTTCCCAAAAGATTAAAGATGAACAAGGCGCTTTGATCGTTATTAATCCCAGGGGCATGATTGATTCAAGAGACACCTGGTCAAACACTGAAGCTTTAGCTCACATACGCGTTTCCTAATGATTAAAGATGAACAATGCGCTTTGTTCATTCTTAATCCCAGACCATGTTTGATTCACGAAACCCCACGCACCTGTAGCTTTTACCCACTACACTTCCCAAAAGATTCAGGATGAACAATGCTTACCCACTACACGCTTCCCAAAAGATTCAGGATGAACAATGCGCTTTGTTCATTCGTAATCCCAGGCCCATTGTTGGTTCAAATTCAAGAGACCCCGCACACCTTTTCAAACACTGAAGCTTTAACCCACGTACGCGTACCCTAAAGATTAAGATGAACAATGCGCTTTGTTCGTTCTTAACCCTAGTGCCGTCTTTGCTTCAGGAAAGCCCACAGACCTGTTTAAACACTGAAGCCTTGACCCGCTACTTTACCCACTACGCGCTTCCCAAATAAGCTCAGGTGATATCCCCGACAGTATGCTGTGCTCTTTTTTTGAGTGCTCGCACCACCTCGCAGCCCTTGCAGAACCTGGTGGAACCGTGGTGCAACCCTGGTGGAATATCGTGGAACCTTACCTCAGGGCCGCCCCGGACCACCCCGGAGCCCAGCTGGGCTGAGACACCAAAGCTTGCAGCTGTTGGGGAAAAATAAAGCTTTGTTCAGTCTTAATCCCGGGCCCGTCTTTGGCTGGAAGCAGCATTGATTAGCAGGCTGCGAGTTGTGCGGTTTACGGATTAGCTCATGCGGCTTGCGGACTGCAGATTATGGGTTGCGTGGATTTTCGATGCAGATTATGTGTTGCGGGTATTGGATCAGGTTCTGTACTACGCTTGGCGCAAGTATGACACCCTTCGGAAACGACTCAGATTATTTCAATCTAACTTGGGCTACATGGCTGTAAAAGCTAACACTTCCCCAGGGCTTGGAGTTTTAATGGGGTAGTCCTAGGTTGTAGGACCAGGTTGCCCTGCAAGAGGCACAAGCGAAACGACACACGATGAGATGGCATGAGTGAAGGCCAGAACTGACCACGGACACGCCGACCTTGCCACACGCTAGCTTTCGTTCCCTGCTTCTCAAGTAATGTTCTGGTGTTTCGTGCGGGATACGCTTTCAAATGTACAGGCTCAGTGCATCACTGCGAAAGCTCGATTGAGCAAATTAGTTCTGGAGGCATCAGGCATCTTCGTCCTCACTGCGCACACGCAACATGTACAGCGCTGCCAGTGAAGCGTATCAGGGACACTCTAGCAAGCTGATTGTCAGGCAAAGACAACGCTTGCAAGGATGTCCTGCCAAACGGGTCGGCAGCCGTTCATTGTGCATCTTTGAAGGATGCCTGGTTAGGGACAACCAGAGGATCAGCCGACGTCTAAATTCGTTCCCGGCCCTTGCTCGATGGGCAGTGGAGCAACACGTGCGATCTTCAACAAGATTGTTACAGGTACACATAGTTCCCCGCAATTGGATGTGATGCCGATGCCGAAATATCTCAAATGCTGCAGGCTGATACTTGTAAGTGTTGGGCATATTGTATTAGACGTGCACAATGGTGGATCCTATGGCATGCCTACTGGGCCCAGAGGCCTTGTGCCTAAAAAAACACAAAAGATGCTTCCTTCTCAAAAGCCTCGCTGCGGCATTGACTTCGCTTTCAATGGTCGGGCTTCTGCCTTCACTGCACACGCGCGTTGCAGGAAGCTATTGCATGGGATGATGCGGAAGCTTTTGTCTGGAAACTATCGGAGGCCTGCATTCACAGAGACGGTGTTGCATTCAAATGGTGTAGCTCCACTGATTGTGTGGCAGTGGCGTGTGAGGTAGATTTGGCTCCTGGCAGACTCATGGATATGATTGCAGGTGTCAGCCTTCTCGACCCGCCTGCATATTTGGTCCTTCGAGCAAGCCTGGCCAAATTGTGATAGTGCAGAGGTGTGTGCACGTTGCGGTTGGTAGGAATGCCTTTGAAGAGCGGTTTTTCATCTTCCACTCAGCAGTCACGGAGATGAAGCACGTCACATGCTTAGGGCGCATTGATTGATTTGAGAGCCACATGAAGAAACACAGTTTGCGGCATCATTCAAGGCTTGTCACTCACTGCGAGATTCGCAAAGAGTGCGAAGGCACGCCGCTCTAATTTGCCTGGCGAGTCGAGCCTCCCTTGACAGGTTGCTCGGCCTCGTGCTGGCTGTTGGCAACCACTTGAATGTTTCTAGCTCAGTGCTTAATTCGCTTAATGCTTGAGACGTTTTTGAGCGCAAGCATCGGCTTCTGGCCGAAGGCAGGAACCGCTCGCGGCCGAGCTGATGGATTTTTGGTAGATGTGCTATCGCCTGATTGCCGAACTTCTTGCTCTGTTCAACAGTCCTTTTTGAGCGTGATTGCCAGGTCCTGCCACAGATGCGTGCCCTCAAGGGCCAGGCAAACCTTGCAGTCATTACAGCACATGATATGGTCCATGCGATTTGTTTTTGACTTCGAGAGCCATTGCCGAATTGCAGTTGCCAGGGTGGTTCAGGATCTGCCCCGACCTTGCTGGACTTCTTGGCCGATGGCTTGAAAGCCTGATGCGTTGTTTGTGCATTTTGTGCCTCGAGGAACCGTGCCTCTTGCTAGGTTCGGCAGGCGGAGAAGACCCATCCTGGCGAGCTTGCCAATCTGTTCAGCGACATTGGAGAGGAGCGGACTCTGACTTTGTTCTAATGTGTTCGGTCCTCATTGCCGCCTCCCCGGTAAACAATGTGCGGGTGTCTAGAAGGAACAACCGCACACCTCACAGCTAGCTCATTGGACATCCCCATAGAAAGTTCAAGTTGCAAGTTTCGCTAGCTTATCTCAGACTGTGTAAAGCATGGCACACACACACACACGGAGAGTTTGTCTTGCCGCCATATTATGGATTCAGGCGGAATATGCTGTGTGCTGACCACCCTCGCCATGTCAGAGTTGCTGTCGTAATAATTGGAACGTGCTTTCAGAGATGGAACAGACCGTTGCTTTTAGCTTCCGTATTGTGTACACCACTGTACTGTTTTGCTGTCATTTTTGCGTTGCCACAGATGTTATGATATCAAGTATGACAAACATGCTGGCCCCAAGCTGCAAACAGTTACACATGCTGATGTGAAACATGTGCTCCGACCTGCGTGGAGGCTACTCTGGTTCAGAAAGCGTGCCGCCACAAGATCGTGGACTTATCGAACGAGCTGACGACTTTTTGCCTTCAGGCCAAGCCACATGCCACAGTTGGCAAAGCAGGATGGCAAAGCCAACATGTCGCTTGCTTTTGCGCTTTTGCGCTTTTGCTAGGGGCGGGGGCTGGCCAGGCAGGGAGTTGTGACACTGTGAGTCAGACGGGGGCAGGGGAACGCAGGACAGCCTCCTCCGGTGACGAGGTGCTAGCTCTTCGCGCTGCCAGAACTGAGGCGCTGGTGACCGCTTGCGTAGGAGCGCTGTATGCTGTATTCATGTGCACATGTATATATAATATATACATATATATATACAGATGCATTTGTATGCTCAACCCCCATGATGCACCATTTGCGGGCACAAAACAAGTGTATGTCACAATGTGTCATGTTACATCTACAAGCCAAGCAAGCCAGTGTCGCCTTTGTCCTGTTTTTGTCACATCTACAAGTCTAAAATAAATGCCTCCTGAGTATTGAATCATCTTCAATTTCCATTTCAAACTTACTTTAGAGCCTCCGGCTCAGTCCGCCGACATTGTCCTCTCACTTTTCTCCTTCTTCCTCTCTCCCTTGTCTCCCTTGTGTGTTCTGTCGTCCTCTCTCCCTCCCTCTGCTCCCCATCCTCCCCATCCCCCCAAGCCTCTGTCTCCCCAATCTCCCTCTCTCGTATGTATGTATGTATATATGTATGTATGTATGTATGTATGCATGCATGCATGCATGCATGCATTCATGCATGCATGCATGCAATGTATGTATGTATGTATGTATGTATGTATGTAATGTATGTATGCATGCATGCATGTATGTATGTATGCATGCATGTATGTATGTATGTATGTATGTATGAAGGAATGTATGTATGTATGTAATGTATGTATGTATGTACGTATGTACGTATGTATGTATGTATGTATGTTTGTTTGTTTGTTTGTTTGTATGTATGTATGTATGTATGTATGTATGTAATGTATGTATGTATGTATGTATGTATGTATGTATGTATGTATGTATGTATGTATGTATGTATGTAATGTAATGTAATGTAATGTAATGTAATGTAATGTAATGTAATGTAATGTATGTATGTATGTAATGTAATGTAATGTAATGTAATGTAATGTAATGTAGTGTAGTGTAATGTAATGTAATGTAATGTAATGGAATGTAATGTATGTATGTATGTATGTATGTATGTATGTATGTATGTAATGTATGTATGTATGTATGTATGTATGTATGTATGTATGTATGTATGTATGTATGTATGTATGTATGTATGAATGTATGTATGTATGTATGTATGTATGTATGTAATGTATGTATGCATGTATGCATGCATGTATGTATGTATGTATGTATGTATGTATGTCTGTGTGTATGTATTTATGTATGTATGTAATGTAATGTAATGTAATGTAATGTAATGTAATGTAATGTAATGTAATGTATGTATGTAATGTATGTATGTATGTAATGTAATGTAATGTAATGTAATGTAATGTAATGTACTGTAATGTAATGTAATGTAATGTAATGTAATGTAATGTAATGTAATGTAATGTAATGTATGTAATGTAATGTAATGTAATGTACGTGTGTATGTAAGTATGTATGTATGTATGTATGGATGCATGAATGTAATGGATGTATGTATGTATGCATGCATGCATGCATGCATGCATGCATGTATGTATGTATGTATGTATGTATGTATGTAATATATGTAGTGTATGTAATGTATGTATGTATGGTATGTAATGGTATGTAATGTAATGTATTCAATGTAATGTATGTATGTATGTACTGTATGTATGTATGTATGTATGTATGTATGTATGTATGTATGTATGTATGTATGTATGTATGTATGTATGTATGTATGTATGTATGTATGTATGTATGTATGTATGTATGTATGTATGTATGTATGTATGTATGTATGTATGTATGTATGTATGTATGTATGTATGTATGTATGTATGTATGTATGTATGTATGTATGTATGTATGTATGTATGTATGTATGTATGTATGTATGTATGTATGTATGTATGTATGTATGTATGTAATGTATGTATGTATGTATGTAATGTATGTATGTATGTATGTATGTATGTATGTATGTATGTATGTATGTATGTATGTATGTATGTATGTATGTATGTATGTATGTAGTAATGTATGTATGTATTGTGTATGTATGTATGTATGTATGTATGTATGTATGTATGTATGTATGTATGTATGTATGTGTATGTATGTATGTATGTATGTATGTATGTATGTATGTATGTATGTATGTATGTATGTAATGTAATGTAATGTAATGTAATGTAATGTAATGTAATGTAATGTAATGTAATGTAATGTATGTATGTATGCATGTATGTATGTATGTATGTATCCTTGCACTTCCCCTTTGCTTCCCAGTATTTCCGCAAAAAAACACGGTGTTTCCAGCGTTTTCGCAAAGAGGATGCCCAAAAACACAGAGTTTTGCTAGATTTTCGGCAAAAGGATGCAGGAAGCCCAAGCCAGCAAAAAAGCCGGCCGGGGGAATCGAGCCTGGGACCCCTGTCTTGCGACACTGGCAGACTACGTTTAGTGGAACGTCATCAAATTGCCGCGCGGGACGAGGGGACCCCCCCCCCCCGTACGTTGGACACTGCCGGACAGTGTAACCGTTAACTTGTGCATGCAAAGATAGGTGAGTAAGTGAGTAGTTGAATGAATGAGTGGCTGAATGAATGATTGAATGAATAAATGAATGAATGAATGAAATGAATGAATGAATGAATGAATGAATGAATGAATGAATGAATGAATGAATGAATGAATGAATGAATGAATGAATGAATGAATGAATGAATGAATGAAATGAATGAATGAATGAATGAATGAATGAATGAATGAATGAATGAATGAATGAAAGAATGAATGAATGAATGAATGAATGAATGAATGAATGATGATGATGAATGAATGAAAATGAATGAATGAGTGAATGAATGAATGAAAATGAATGAATGAATGAATGAATGAATGAAATGAATGGAATGAATGAATGAATGAATGAATGAATGAATGAATGAATGAATGAATGAATGAATGAATGAATGAATGAATGAATGAATGAATGAATGAATGAATGAATGAATGAATGAATGAATGAATGAATGAATGAATGAATGAATGAATGAATGAATGAATGGAATGAATGAATGAATGAATGAATGAATGAATGAATGAATGAATGTGAAGAATGAATGAATGAATGATGAATGGAGTGAGTGAGTGAGTGAGTGAGTGAGAGCCCATGGAGCCCGAGTTGAGAGATTTGGGCCCCCCGCGACCAGCCCATGATCGCGCTTCCCGCCCGCGCGGGCTGCGCGCCGCCGCGCCGCGCTTCGCGCCCCCTCAGCCGCGCCTCGAGCCGCGCCCGCCGCGCCCCCTCGCGCCCGCCGAGGCCTTTATAAACCAGCTGTGTCCAGGCCCCCCCCCTAAAAAAAAAGAAAACCTACGTATTTGACGTCGGGCGGGGGGGGGTAAGGGGGGGGGTTATCCTCTATCCTCTAGTAAGTATCCTCCAGTAAGTATCCGACACGCCGAACAATGTCGGCGGATTTGTAAAGGAATTCATACTCAAAATTCAAACGCAAATGGAAAAACAGATGAAACTCATTCCCCATAAAGTTCTACTTGAATTATTGTACAGTTCAAGTCATATTTGGGAAAGACCTACTTTCTGACCCCTCGAAGGACAGAGGCGCACAGTTCCCGGAGGTGGAAGCCGTTGCGTACGGTGTGAGGGGTGAGTTTCAACAATTCAAGAGTGCAACAAGGTGTCAGCGCAATTGCCAGAAGAAATGAATGCAGTCTCGGAGTACCAATAGCTGACTCAGCAAGGGCAGAGGCCAGACACGTTACGTGCTAAAGCCTGAAGAGGCAGCTATGCAAACCAAAGTTCACGGTGCTCAGACGTACCATGATGCCGTGGTTTCCCAACTTTCCCCGTCAGCTTTCCAAGTTTGACTGCCAGCTTTCCAAGTTTGACGGTCAGCTTTCTCCTAGCTCCCCCAGCAAGTTTTTTGTCGCCTCAGATGTTCTGGTTATTTCTTGGCCGTTCTCGACGTGTCTTAGCAAATGTCCGAGTCGACTTGTTCAGCCAGATCGTCGCTTCGGAATTTCGCAAGTTTTTTGGGATTTCCGGCCAGTTCCTCTTTTCCTGCCTTTTTACATACATATATACATGCATCACACACATGTCACATGACACACATGTCATACATTGCCAGTAGTACATACATGACATGCGCTACATGCGTTACATACATGGCACACATTACGTTCATTACAGGCCGGAACAACTCAGAAACGAAGACACTGCCCAGAGAAGCCCGGAGAAACTAGCAGAACAACCCGAAAACCTGGAAACACTTGGAACAGGGGGCGCTGAAACTGGCCGGAAGAACGTGGAAAGCTGCCAGAACCCTGAACTGCATGGAAAACTCGTTGGCAAGCTGGTCTTACCCACGACCTTTGCGGAATAAAAGCCTTCGACGAACACAGGTGGCAGTGAAACCACTAGGTCGCAGACCCCTTACTCCTCATGTCGCAGCCGAAAAAATCAGAGCAACAAGTGCAGCATGGCGCAACCATGCCCCAAAACCTCAGAAAAAACTGGAACAAACTTAACAACAAAAACTGGCCGGAAAAAACAGACTGCGCGACAAACCTGGGTGGTCGTTGCTTGTTGTTTTTTTGTTGGTGGGTGGTCGTTGCTGGTTGATTTTTATGTTTGTTTGTTTGTTTGTTTGTTTGTTTGTTTGTTTGTTTGTCTGTTTGTTTGTTTGTCTGTCTGTTTGTTTGTTTGTTTGTTTGTTTCTTTGTTTGTTTGTTTGTTTGCTGTTGGGCCTTTGCTTGGACAGTATGTGCTCGATGCAACGCGCTATCCTTGGTGGTGCCTGAGGAATCCAAGCAAATTCTAGGCAACAAGCTTGTTTCCACCAAAGGTGGACTCGTTTGGGACGCTTTTTCACACATGATACAAGTGGCTGATCGTGGCAGGCTCGAGTCGAAGAGTTAGTGGGCCGGCTCAGTGCTTTGCGCATTGTTCACTGGATGCGTCACTTTTAACACTGCCCATGCATGCAGAGTGCACGAGGAGCAACTGCAGCAGGCCTTCACGGAGGCAGAGGAGGACTATCGAAGTATGTGCGTGCTTAGCTCAGCCAGATTGTCAAATGCAATCCAGCAACACCTTGACTTCAGCTGGCGTGCACGCCTCGGGGCGCATAAGGCCTGGTTTCACGAAGGCGATGGGAGGAAGCCAACGCCTCGGGTTATTTCTTCCTGTTGGCGGCGATGGGGCGTTAACCAAGTTTTGCCAGGCCACGGCCGCCAGATGAATTCTTTGGACACTGGCACGCTTTCTTTCAGGCATGCAAGCAGTTTGCCTTGGCATTGTTGCGTAACCGTGTGCCGCCACAAATCGTCACAGAAGCCCAGCAGCCCGTGTTGCACCATGATGAGCTCAAAGAACAAGCCAAGTCGCGGTATTCACGGGCGGGCATGTGGGTGATGAATGCGTTGGAGCGTTGAGTGAAAATCATGCCACCAGGGTGTGAAAGCAGCTCTAGAGTTGCGGCGAGCTGAGCGTGCTGGCGAAGTCTCAGATTCAAGGACTCAAGCCATGCTCAGGATGTATGCAGGCAAGATGAAGCGACGAAAAGCTCCAAGATCCAGGATTTTGCGGCCCTATGATCAATTCCAAAAGCCCGGCGCTGGGCATTCGCGTTTGGCACTTGTCAATTCTCGGAAGGTTTGTTTGGACAGCTTGCCCAATCCAGGACGTTGTCCTTAAAGGAGAATGTCAAGGCGACGCGTGTGTGTCTGTTCGTGTGTGCGGTTGTGTCCAAGTTTGCTTCACGCGCCATGCGTTCCAAGTTTCCATGTTTGTGCAAACAGTTTGCAGCGACAGGCAAACACCCTTCGCTTGTAACATGGACATGTCTAACAAGTGTCAGAAAGAGGTAAGACGCATGCACTGTCCAACCTTGCAGAAGTAGTTGGGGCAAACACGCGCGTGCCTGAAACATCGAGACACAGCGCGCAGCACACAGCACACAGCGCACAGCGCGCGCACACGTAAACACACACACACACACACACACGCACACGCACACGCACACACACACGCACGCACGCACGCACGCACGCACGCACGCACGCACGCACGCACGCACGCACGCACGCACGCACGCACGCACGCACGCACGCACGCACGCACGCACCCACCCACACACACACACACACACACACACACACACACACCCACGCACCCACGCACCCACGCACCCACGCACCCACGCACCCACGCACCCACGCACCCACGCACCCACGCACCCACGCACCCACGCACCCACGCACCCACGCACCCACGCACCCACGCACCCACGCCCCCCCCCCCCCCCCCCCCCCCCCCCCCCCCCCCCCCCCCCCCCCCACGCTCCCCACGCCCCTTCGCCCACGCCCAGACCCCCAGCCCCCCCGCCTGCGTATCACCGTTCCCGCCATCCCCCGCCCCGCCCCCACGCCCCCCAACGCCCGCCCGCCCCCGCCCCACGCCACGCCCCACGCCACCACGCCCACGCCCCACGCCCAGCGCGCAAAACACGCCGCGCACGCGCTGGTGCGCGCACCGCGCCACCCAAACGCATCACGCGCACGCACCCGCGCGCGCCCACGCCAGCGACGCAGCCACAGAACGACGCAGGGCATAGTGGCAGACACAGACAGAGAGAGAGACGGAGACATGTTCGTAGGGGATAGACACGGTTGATACCAGACCCCTTGCAAAAGTCCCCAATGACAGCAAAATTGGTGCAAATGGTTAGGACAAAATTTGAGACACGCAGTAAACCCAAAAACGGGTTGCATCAAAACGTCACCCTCAAATGTTCTTAAAATAGAGACAGAGACAGAGACGCAGACAGACACAGACAGAGAGAGACAGAGACAGAGACAGAAACAGAGACAGAGACAGAGACAGAGACAGAGACAGAGACAGAGACAGAAACAGAGACAGAGACAGAGACAGAGACAGAGACAGAGAGCGACAGGCAGAAGGGAGAGAGACAGAGACAGAGACACATGCTTTGTGCGTTGCTATGTGAAGACAGGGGTTTTGTGAGTAATGTCTGGCTTCTCCGACTTCCTTAGAGCTTGTTTTTCAATGCTGTAGTTTGTCAGGATGCCGTGAGCTGAGGGTGGTTGTACCGCTTAATGACTGGACATTTGCAAGCTTGGCGGGCCCAAAGGCTTAACCGTCAACTTTGCATTCAGAAACTGTTTGCACGCGTCTTTGTACAGCGAGCTTTTCAAGCCGTATTTTGGCGGATGAGAACACTCCACAGTTTATGCGAAAGTTAATCTACGCGCGGCTGCCAGCTGCGCAGCAAATTTACAGTTGGCTCCCTGCAGGCTTCAAAATATTCCAGGTGTGCCGTCCATCATGTGGAAAGAGGTCCAGAAAGTTGGGACACCGGATTGCATGGTTCAAACCAGATTGGATAGATTATCTTCGCGACAGAGTCTGCACGTAACCATCACAGCCATGTCATGACTTAATTACCAATATCCATGTTTGACCTTGCAGTGAAACAATTTGCCCCCGCAAATCAAAATTGCATCTCTTGAGCGTTTCTATGCCATGGTGCCCTGGCCCTAGATTGACTTGGCACGCTGAGAACCTGTTGAATTAGCATGTCTTCCACCAAGGTCCACTGTCGCAAATCCAGCACACCTTCTTTGGCCGCAGCCCCTACGCTATGTCACAAAGCCTATGTACTGATAGCAGCAAGCACAATGAGGAAGACATTCGTCACTTATACGGCATTTGCCTGCTGAGGCAAGAGCGAGTGGACAAAGAAAGGCAATTGGCAAAAAGGCGATTTGCGAAAGCTAGCGCAGACAATGATTCTTCGATGCTTTGCAGGCAAATCATCAGGCAGTTGGGGCTGCGCAACTTGGGCATGATGAGTCCCCAGCAAGAATTCATAATGATTTGAATGATACACAATCAGGTGCTATTTAAGATGTTTAAAGGCAGAATAAACATACACAAAGATGCATCAGGGGAATGAATGCATCACAAAGAAGCAGAACAGAGGCTGCGCTGCATTGAGGTGACTCTTGCACCAGTGCTGCGGATGCACCGTTTTGCTCTCAGATCGCAAAGCGATGCAGCAAGCAGATGCAAGCAGATGCACGCAGTATTCCCAGGCCCCTACATGATTTGCATCAATGCATGCATTGCACTCAGTGAGCTCAGCGTGCCTGATTGCATAGTTCATCCATCATCGTTGCTTTTCCAGGTCCATGCAGGGAGGCGCAGGTACCCGTGAAGTAGGTGAGTGTTGCTCTATTGAGATTATCTGAGTCAGGCATGCTCCTGCCAAAGGCAGGCCTTTCGTGTTTATGTCACATTCCACACTCTTTGCGCCAGATTCCTTCAACGTCCGAGACTCGGACAACGATATTGTCTGAAAGCTACTTGTGCCTGCCTGTCGGCCCACTCCGTACGCTTTGCTTTGCAGTCAAGGCCCTGACCAAGGTTGCTCTCCACTGCTGTCCTTTGTCACCTCGATCCGCTTTCTTCCCTTTCCCGTGCATTCTTGTACTTGCACCCGTTCAGCTGGACTGGAAGACTACAGGCCCCCTGTACGACCACTGAGCACGGCCGGGACCCAAGAGTCAAGTGAAGTGTTAGGGACAGAACAGAGAGGAGAGCACCCAGGCTAAAAGCACCCCGTCGCTGAGAAGCGTGTTGCCGGTATGTCAAAGGTACTTTCATATCCTGAGCTGAAGCATTGCAGGCGAAGCAACTGCAAAGTAGCGGGTCGTTGAGGACGTGATAGTACTTGCACCGTGCCTATCAATGACGTGTGGTGAATTGACTTTGAGTGCATTCATTGCACCAGGAGCTCCCTAACAGGACTCACATCAGCCTCGCTTCGTCGAGAGGCGAGGAGTAGACCGCACTTCTTGTGTCCAGTCCATCCTTGAGCTCACCACGCAAACTGAGTGAATACCATAGCTGTCATTTGGTTTGCGAAACCCACCTGCTTTGCTGAACAGGCTTGGATTCGCTATTGCCATGGTATAGATTCACAGCGTTTTTGTGCAGCACGCATTTCTTTGCAACGGCCGATTTGTAGCGAGCGCTTTGACCATTGTATTGGTTCGCGTGACAGACAAGGCAAGGGCAAGCCCGTCCGGAAACGTTCGGTCTTTGGTGGTATATCACACTTGTGCCAAAGGCCTTGCGCGATCAGTCACACCAACCTGAGTCACAACACCAACCGTGCCAACGGGGATGCAACACTTTGCAGACATTTAAGATGCATCACGCACTTGACATTTGGTGCACTAGTCACTGCTTGTAGCTGGACTGATCGAGGCCAGGTTTGGAGTAAGGTATGGGCGCAAATACTGAGTGCGCGCGCACTTGCACACAATGCTGCAGGTGCATGAAGCTGTTGCAGCGGAGGTGCATTTCCGTGTTCTTCGATTCTTCGGAGCAGCTTGTTGGGCTCACCCTAGGTGGCCAGGATTGTGGAGCCCTTGAAAGAGAAGCTGCACACAGAAAAAACGGCCAGGCTAGGCCGAGTTGTTTCGACCCAGGCAGTTGCCTGACATTCAACCGTTTTGCAGAATTACAGTCTTGCCCTCTTGCACAAATCTGTCCAAAGGCATGATTCAAACAACTTCTGATCTCGATTGCCTGCAAGTTCCAGTTGCCCCAAATTTCCCATGGCATTGGATGAAGCAGCAAACCGCAGGCAACGACTGGAGAACATGCTGCGCGTGGCAAAGGGAGGCCCAGCAGAGGCAGACAGATGAATCTTTTGCCAGACTGTCAAAAGTGCAGCAGACTCCCAGGCTCTGTGAAACAGAAGCTTTTGATTGGCTCACGCGACGTGCTGTTGTCTCAAGACACTTGCATTGTCGTATCACTGAGCCGAATTCATGTGGTGCAGGGCAACGGAAGTTGCAGTGTGCCAATGCAAAAGCCAGTGAGCATCGCTCACACTGTTCCGCTGGCTGGGTTTGATTCACACTTAAATGTTGGAGCAGTCGTTGTTGTGAGCTCCGCTTTCCTTTGTCTTTCTTGGCTCAATGTACTGCACTGACATGTCGGCCCTGGCCTGAAAGAGGCGCCAAGCCAGGCCGGAATGCACTCTGGAGTCAAGAGCACCATATTTTATTTTATTTTTTTGAGGTGTGCTGGGCATGTTTATTGCTAAAAGTCTATAAGCCCTTGCAGGAACCTGCTCTGAGCTTGACAATTGCCTTTCTGGTCTTTGGTGTGCTTCGTCAGGTTGCACTTCTGCTGGGCCGGGTATATAGTATAGGCTGCGGGCAATGCGCATAGGGCTGCGGCTATCTCTGCTGCTCTGCCAATTTCTTAGCTTGCCAGATTCAGCGCTTTCAGGATTTGTGGGATTCATGCATCGCTGGCATTGCTGTGGCCGCTGAGGCGGCTTAAGCTTTCTAATCTGTGGGCGAGTGTTTGTCACAGCCTCAGCTTCAACTCATGGCGAAGGCAATCAGTTCGACTTGCAGGTTGGAGTGGGTCATCCGAATCAGAGACTTCCGCTTGCTGCCAAGAATGGTGAGGGCCGAGGCAGTGTACTGTGTACCGGTGAGGCACTCGCTTCGGCACAATGGAAAGTGCTCGCCTCGTGGGATCCTGCGGGAAGCATCTAGCTTTGCAGCGCCAAATCGTTTGGTGAATGCTCGGACTCCGCTGTCACATGTTTCTTTCTTGTTCCTTTGATGGCCAGAATGTACCACCCTTCCCCTCTTCCAAGTGTTGCAGTGCTTTTTGTCCTAGTGTTGTATTTTCGTACGCACGTGAGGCACTGAGCGTGAGATGTTCTGTTTTTTTGTCAAAGGTTGTTGTATTTGTGCGGAAGTGAGGTGCCACTGCGCATCAGTGGATCTTGTTTCTTTTTGCTGAGGCTAGGCAGCAATACCGCATTTGGTGGTGTGCAGGCCCTTCTCAGCTTTTCACTGTTTCTTTGCGCTTGTCAGCGTTTGAATAAGGTTCCGCAGCGCAGCCAGTCCTTCGTAGGTGTGTCCGCAGCGCAGCGCTCAGACATTGCAAGAAGCCGCCGAAGCCGCCCAGGGCATCTTGTAAAACTTGTAAAGGTGGTGGCCATCCTGGCCGCTAGTTGCAGTACAAGGAGTACAAGGAGTACAAGGAGTCGAGTCACTGTCGATCGGTCGATCGGTCGATCGGTCGATTGGCACTAGCGTTCGCAGGCGGACTCAGGTGGCACGGCAAGCTGAAGCCTTGATGCCCTGGAGGCCGACATGGATAGATGTAGAGAAACGGAGGAGGCGGAGACATAAGAACCTCAGAGACACGGAGCCATGGCAGGATTCCCAACACACAGCGCTTTCAATGGCTCTCTGTGCGTGAGCTGTTACTGCGAGAGCGGATACTGATGATCTCTGAGTGCCCCTCGCAGTGAAGCGAGAGAGAGCGAGAGAGAGTTTGCAGGCGTGTGTTTGAGCCCTTGAGCTTCTGCCGGCAGATGAAATGACAGTGTGAGATTCGCCGGGAGTGCCCCTAGCCCCCTAGAATGCATCTGCCTAACCTCCGCCACCCTTGCTTCAGAGGTCTGCATTACACTTGCAAGCTGGCACTTGTACAACAATTCCACTTCGCAAAGCCCCACTGGCGGAAATGCAAACAGTTTGCATTAGATTGCCTTTTCCTTCAAAAGCTTTCCGTTGCGTCGTGACCTATATTTTAAAGCCAAAGCTTTCCTCGTGCATCTACAGATAACCCCACTTTTGCACGTGTGTGTGTGTGTGGGGACATTGTTTTATTTGGTTCGGTGATGCTGCAATCTCTAGAGTAGCTTATTTCATGTCTTTGGGAGACTACGAGCAGGAATCCAGGCATTGAATGCTTGCACGCTCCTGACCAATTGTTTACTTGATCGCTCTTGCAGCCTCTTGCGGTGCACGATATGAATTCGCTTTCCATGCATTTCGTTCTGTCGCACAATCTGGATTTGCAGGCATGCGCTGGTCTCTGCCAGGTACATAGATGATACAATGGCCAACGCATACCTAGCCATGCTTCTATACCTGCAGTCCGAAGATGCCAAGAAGCCAGTCTGCAGCTGAACAAGAGCAGAAGGGCGCTTGTTGATCTAATGATATTCATTCCAAGGTGCAAATCTATTTCTCTAGTCCAGGGGCAGCACTGAAACCTGTTTGAAGCTTAGAACGCTGCACAGTTCAGCATTTCTCAATTACAGGCTGCTTGGGTTTGTAGCCCAGGCTTTGGCCCTGTACGACACGATTTGCCAGCTAAAGGCGAAAGGTTGCAAGGAGCGGCACCGTGCAATGTTTGTTGGGGTGTTTCTGCCTTTGCTCACTGAAAGAGACCTGTGTTCAGGTGACAACAGTGAGCTACTCTCTGTGTGCTGGTATGGGGGCATTTCTGGTTGCAGCTGGATCGCTTCAGCCTTGGTGCAAGCATCAAACTATCATGACCATGATAATCTTGTGATGGATGTCTGAGGCCAGGACGGCGATTTGCAACTCCTAATTCATTATTCCTGCTTTCCAAGACAGGACTGGTTTTGAGCGCCCAAGATCAATGTAAATGCATCTTGCTCGTAACGCTGCTTTGACCCTTTCAGCACCGTGGCCAATGCTTTGTTGAGGATTGGTTGTTGCACCGTTTTATCACCTCCTTGCACTGACTGCGCTGGACCTTTGGTGCGAATTGTGGGGCAGCGCCAGCTCAAGGACTGGAGAGCCCAGTCCAGGGCCAAGCCACGGAGATTGAACTGGAGGCAGGCTGGCTTTGCACAACTCAACAAGTTGGGCTCATGCGAATTGCATCGAATCGCACAGGTCAAACTGTCAGACCGCACTTTGCCAGGCCAAGCAGATGCTTCGTGAGAGCGACCGCCTTGTTCTTACATCAAGGACTGTGCCAAATTGTCTTCCTCACACACCTAACTGTGGGCATAGCCTCACATTTGCCTGTGCCACATATCGTGCGTATGAGCTGCCGTGTTCCTATTTAATGTAATCTGCAGAGCTAAGGAGTGGAGGAGGAGTTGTCTGGCATCACAGGCCAATCCATCGATAAGATCCGCCAGGAAAAGCATGCCAGCATGCACAATACGCCTTTGTCCACATTCAGGACTTGCGGCGCAACTTTTATTTGTCTGCTGCAGAAGCCGTGGAGCCTGCTTCTGAGCTTGCTTTGAAAGCTCGGCTTGCGCAGCTGGGGTTTGTGCGCACGGCGAAGCGGTGGATGACATAGCATCAAAGTGACTAGTGGCTGGGGATTCTCGGGGGCGTGGAAGAATTCACACTTCAATGAAGGTGTGAAAGAGTGCGGTTCTCGTCCCCTTGAGAACAAAGGCAGTCACTTGAACGTAAAGGTTTGATCACCATCTTTGAGATGTTTGAGCGCTGCTTCATGGAATATAGATCTGATTCCTCATTCATATGCTGAGGTATGGGTTGATAGACAAAGTCTTGGTGCCGCAGTACGACAAGGGCTCCAAGTTAGACCAGGACTTGCAGCTTAATTCTTGGCACAGAGCCTCTGGCCAAGAGCAACGCTCGCAGGGAACTCGAGACCCATGGAGTGGGCAGGCGGGCAGTGGCAAATAAGCGCAGCGGGCAGTTTTTCTTTCATAAGTTACATAAGCGTGGCTAGGTGGTCAAGACCCAAGTCGGGTTCGGAGTCTTCGCTGACCCAGACCAGCCACGGACTGCAGTTTGAGATGCAGAGGAAAAACAGAGTGACTCTCATGATGAATTGACTCCACAGTTTGAGATGTGCCAGCTTGTTCACAGTAGAAACCAATAGGGCAACACTTGCTGAACAGCGCTTGCAGTGCACAGTCTTCCGCCAGCAGTCTCTTGGTTTGTTCATATTGTCTTGGGTAGACTGCCCATGCTTGGCATTCGATTCTGACGTAGATGCATCTTTCGCGACTGCCTTGAACCGTGTGCGGAGTTGTTTGGCCAAAGCGGACCGCGAAGTGAATGTGTCAGATTCTGTTGACCGACCATAGCGACCAACAACTTGTTTTCATGTTATCAATGTTCATGCGAACCTTCGATGCAAAGTAAATCAGCGTGCTTTCGGACAACTGGCTGCATGATCTTCTGGCTGTGACTTGTGCGCACCTTAGATTAGATTCACTGGCTGTAATGTAAGAAAGGCCTGCCCAATCAATGCTTTTCATTTAGACGATGCTCCCTCCATCAAATCGCCTAAAGATATTGCTTCGACCCTGGGCTGTGCCATCTCGGTCCCACCCTTCAGGCTTTGAGATGATAATATATTGTGGGGATGAAAAATATCCTCGTGAACGGATGTTGCATTGTGATATGTGTTTTGTTTTGCTGTGCTGAGATCAGCACATGTGTCAAGTCCCAAGTCGTTACAGGAGCTCGATTGTTCGATCATAGGAATTGCGATAAGCGTCCTGACTGCCCTTTGAGCTTGACCAGCAGCAACCGGATGTGCATGAAGGTCTTCAAACTTACACAGAGGTGTAATTAATCACTGTCTTTCTGGAAGATAGTCCATGGACTGGCAGGTGCTCCTGCCAATGCGTCGGCCAAGCTACAGGAGTCATAATCTCCGCAAGTGTTATGCAAATGCTGCGCGCTTCAATACGTGTTGTCTCTCGCTCTTGCCTTCGTCGGCGCTTACGCTGCTGCAAAGTTTAACGTCGCACAAGGAATGAAAGGTGCTCTCACTGGCAGCTTGAGTGGGAGGCAGCTTGCGGAACTTGGCAATGACTTCGGTGGCTTGTTGAAACAGTCCGTCAAGCGAGGAGCACACACGCAACGAGTGCAAAACCAGGACAGCTTGCCAATACAGACTCTCGTCTTGCAAAACAAATATGGCCTTAAAACAAGACAAACTTGATCCCCTTGTGTCACGGTGTGAGGGCCTGCCGGCGCGAACTCCTTCAACTGGCAGGCTGTGGCCGCTCTCATTGGTTCACGACGCTCCGTACAAACTATCAAAGCGATCAGAACTCGGAGCCGTCATGACTTAGGCAGTTTCTGCTGGCCGTTCGTGGAAGACTGCGGGTGCATCGGAATCGTGCTCTGGAGCGTGGCAAGCTGGCTGCTCTTGGAGCCTTTGGCGACAATGAAAATCCAATGGTTTGCCCCTGCGGAGCTGCTTGGCGTCTCTGCACGCGGGTAGCAAATCGAAAGAGAGGTTTTTGGGCACGACTTTTCTCATGGCCTCCCAAGCCCAGCAAGCACTCCAGGCTGAACCCTGCAGCATTGGCCAGCCAGCTGGCGGCGTGGTACAGCATGTCATCGAGCAGATCGTCCGACAATCTGGAGGCCTCGGATCTCCTCGGACGCTGGCGCCATGCCAGCTGAGCGTTCTCAGACGTGTGGCCTGGGCGGGCTCACCCTGCGATGCCACACGAAGCACTCCAGTTTGTGGGCTCGCCATCGCCAGTGCAGCATCCGCCGCCGCCATCTGCGTCCGCATGGGAGCAGCAACGTACCCTCGAGGCTCCACCGCAGCGTCCATGCGCAGCGAAGCCGCCACGAGGCTGCCCGATGCTGGCCGCGTTGTGCCGCCTTGCACTCTACTGAGGCCCTCCGCCATGTGTTTGCCCACAGGTCCAGCAACTGGATCGCCCTCCTTTGCTTGCG